TCTCTCTCTCTCTCTCTCTCTCTCTCTCTCTCTCTCTCTCTCTCTCTCTCTCTTTCTCTCTTCCTTCCTTCCATCCTTCTTAAATGATTCTATCCCAAACGGAACTAAGCTAATAAGCATGAGTACAAAAGACACACAAAATAGATGGTGGAGTGAAAAATGAGAAAGTTCCAGGAAAAATGGTTCCTAGATTAATCTAGTTCTTGAAAGAGTGAGAAAGTTGGGACTCAACCCCCTACCCACCCATCCTTGGCTCACTTCACTTGGCCCAACCCTTAAATATTCTTCAGATTCCCTTGCTTCTAATCACCTCTGCTAGTCTGGCGTTCATCAAACAACAGTAAGTCTTGCCTGGCTTACTTCTCTGCCTTCCTGCCAAGTCTTCTTGCTTCCAGATTTACCACTCCAGCCTGTGCTCTTCTACTGCCACTGTCAAAAATTGAATACTTTGGATTTCTGCTTAAAACACTTCCTTGTTCTTTATCCCCTAATGGATAAAGTCAAACGCCCCACAGACAGGTCGTTTAGGATTTGGCTCTTGCATGACAAGGAAAACACTGATTATGGTGGCACACTGTGAAAAAAATTTTGAACAGGGACGGTGTAGTATAGCATTGTGCTAGGAACTTTGCGTTCTATCCATCTTTACAATGCTCTCTCACATATTTGGTATTAATATTTTCATTTTACAGAGGGGGCAACTGATTCTCCAAAGGAGTAACTTTCCAGAAACCTGCAGCTAGTTTATGTGGAGAAGGCCTGTTTGTCAAGATTCTTTCCAAGGCAGCATCTTGGAAATCAAAGAACGTGCTTATCATCATCCTGTTCTCCGCTAAACAGGCAGCCCTGTTCAATCACAGCTAAACTCATTCTTGTCCCCAGGGCCAGAAGAATCCATACACCTCTGTGGACGACTAAATGAGAATGATACTGTACATGGATTCTCTGCTCCGGTTTCAGGGGCTGCAGTCCTGACTGCCCAGCGCCTCCTTGTCCTGGCTCCTAGGTGGGGACCCCATTGGGAGTCGGGACCAGGAGCCTCTCTTCTTAACCCTAGCCTGCCTGGCTGGAATCACAGCAGTGTCGGAGTGGGATTGGGGTTCCACTCTGATCTGAGGGATTCGGAGCTCGAAGGCTAGGACAAGGCGCAAGCACACCGGGAACCCAGCCCTGAAGCCGGGAGCTTGGACGGTGCGCTCCGCCGCTTTCGCTGTCCGCAGGCACCGGGAAGCCGTGAGACCAGGGCTGTCGGAGCCACTTGGAGGTGCTGTCAGTCCAGTCGGGGCACCCACATTTGGAGAAGGGTGCGAATTCCCGAGGACACCTCCTGCTGGCCGAAACTGGAACCCAGGCTCGAACATTCCGAGGGCTGCCCGTTGGGCGAACCGACCTGGGTTCCCTCCCAGCACGGAAGCGGGCCCAGCCACCCTGCTGAGCCCTGCCAGGAAGAGGGACAACGACCCCTGGCTTTCCCAGTCCGAGACCCAGGGTAACCCCTTTCCCTGGATGGCCTCTCCCCTGGTCCGACCCCCTCGCGCCCCCGCGCGTCGGTCTCCGTTTCTGAGCCTGCTCTGAAAGTGATGTAACGAGGCCGAGCTCGCGGCCGCTTTCCCTCTTCCTCCCTTCGGCGCTCGGCACTGGAGCGCAGAGCCCGCGCAGGGCTGCCCAGAGGCACCGCTTCCAGAGCCCTAGGGACCGATGGGCACGGCTGGGAGAGATTCTCCCACGTCCCTGCTCCTCCTTGTGGAGTTAGTGCGGGAAACCGGCCTTTCTTCCCAGAGTCAAGGGAGAGAACTAAGGGGCAACTGCTGCCAAGATTTCTGAAGAGACAGACTGTCTTCTTTCCCTATCCCGAGGGGCGGCAGGAAAACTCAGGTAACTAGGAGCCCCCAGCTGGTGTTTGTTTATGAGAGACAGGGTTTGCAAGAGAGACGGAGAAGGGGGGCGAGAGTTGGTTGTTGGAGGGCAGGCGGGAGGGAAGGTGAGAGGAGAGAGAGAGAGAGAGAGAGAGAGAGAGAGAATGGGAAACTGCTGGAGAGAGAGGACAAAGATTGCCAGAGATTAGAAACAAAGACAGGAAAAGAGACCAAGGTTGAAAGACAAAGAGTCAAAGACACGGAGCAAGGAAGAGACAGAGTTGAGTTGGCTGGTGGTAACTTGAATTGGATTTTTTTTTAATCCACTGTGATTTCATCTCTCACAGAAGGGAAGATCACACTACTCCCCGGCCAGCAAGCAGCCCCCCACCTGGATGGAGTGAAAGATGCGGCCTGATGACATTAACCCGAGGACTGGGCTAGTGGTGGCTCTGGTCAGTGTCTTCCTGGTCTTTGGTTTCATGTTCACTGTCTCTGGGATGAAGGGGGAGACTCTGGGAAACATCCCCCTCCTGGCCATTGGGCCAGCCATCTGCCTCCCAGGCATTGCAGCTATTGCCCTGGCCAGGAAGACCGAAGGATGCACCAAGTGGCCGGAGAATGAGCTGCTCTGGGTCCGCAAACTGCCATGCTTCCGGAAACCCAAGGACAAGGAGGTGGTGGAGCTGCTGAGGACCCCTTCAGACCTGGAATCGGGCAAAGGAAGTTCAGATGAGCTGGCTAAGAAGGCAGGCCTCGGGGGGAAGCCACTCCCACAGGCGCAGAGTGAGCTGCCCATGGCCAGCTCCATCACCACCCACACACCCACGGAGGAAGGAGAATGCCAGAGCCTCATCCACAGTGGGCATCAGGAGGAGACATCCAGATTCCTGGATGGCTACTGTCCCTCGGGCAGTTCCCTCGCCTACAGTGCTTTGGATGCCAAGTGCTCAGCCTGGGACAGATCTGAGTGCCCTGAGCCAGAGGACAGCATCTTCTTTGTACCCCAGGACAGTATCATCGTTTGCTCCTACAAGCAGAACAGTCCCTATGACAGATACTGTTGTTACATCAATCGGAGCCAAGGCAAGTGGGACCATGAGACAATAGTCTAAGCTCTGCATAAGAGGGTTGCTGTGATGTTGATAGAAACACAACTACATTCTGCTCCCAGTGGATGGAAATTGCTCTTCTCTGACAGCCTTCACATTGTTAGAGCTTAACATGGTATGTGATGGGTGTGCCAGCCTCTGGTGCCTGAAAGTCATGTAAATAGGCATGTTGGGGACACATTTTAGGGAAAGGTGATGAGGATTAAGGACACTGGAAAAGGTAGAAAGTGGGAAAGGAAGCAGTTCCAATTGTTTTTAAATAATTTATACAATGTCAAATGTCATGTAAAATAACCCAGAAAGTGTTATTAGCACCTGTGGAAAGCAAGATCAATCTAGAGTGGGCTACAGATCCTAGGAACCAAGTGGCACACGGGCTATCCACAAGGAAGCAGAGCTGCTTATGTCTGAAGAAATTGAAAGAAAAAAATTCTAGTGCTCTCTTATATGAAATTATTTTTTGTCTGGTAAAAGGTGTTTTATACTGGGTAATTACTGAAAGAAAAAAAATCAAGATAGAATAGTTAAGCCCTCCTTAGGAGAAAGGGAAGTTTTTAAAAACTGAATTGTATAACTTCATGGCTTTATCCTCTGGCAAATCATGGTTTCAAATAAAATGAGTGTGACCAGTTATGTGAAAAATTAATATTTTACACGGTATATTTTGCTTCTTAAACTCTTCTTTTACATTGATGTATTGGGTCTTTAGATGAATTTTTTTAACATTTACTATTATTCATGTGTAATTTCCTTACCAGGTGAAAAATGGCTTAATGTAATATTCTTATAGATTGGAATTTGTTTTCATCAAGACAAAATGAATTTACATATATATTCAAGTGTCTTCAGCATTTCTGGGAGATGTGTACTGGTAGCTACTACAAGCTTTTTAAAATCTGGGACATACATACATTAGTTCTAAACATTATGCAAAGTTTGTATAAAATTCAATGGTTAAACTTTTGAAAGTGTTCAATGCATCACAGAATATAAATGCCAATGAAACAAGAGTTAATCTACTAAATTTAATTGAAGCCCAGATTTTATTGAGTCCCCCAATAAACTTTATATGATGAAAGTGTATTTCATAATTTTTGCATCTGAGGGGAAAAATCACTATGGGATCCTAAAATTTATTTCCTATTTATTTCCCAAGTTCAACTGCAACAGATAAAAGGACAATGAACCAAAATACCATTTGATCCCTGTCATAGAAGCACATTGAGTTATATACAGGAGTGGTGATAGATTTCATCTTAAAGATGAGGATTATTTTGTATCCCTCAAAGACAATTTTATGTTGTTTGATGGTTTTAGTCACTCCCAAAGGTGAACTAAGGAGAAAAATTGGGAACTTATCTCCTTTATATATTTCAAGTGCGACTCTGTAATTCTTTCATAAGAGTATCAATTGTTCTGTCATAAAAATTATGCTCTGAAAAATCAAAATTTTCAGATCAAGTTCAAGATCCAAAGTATTTTTTGATAGGGCTTAAATATCAGAAAATGAGATGTGTGATCTTGGGCAATTATCATCTCATAGCTCAGTTTCCTACTACACGAAAGGAGATGGGGGAGTGGGGCTGATTTGAACTAAATTGTTTCTTTCATTCCTTCACAGTTTGAATATTATACCAAAGGCAGTTTATTTGTGACCAGAAAATGAGTTACAGCAAAATGCATGCCAAAGTTATGCAATTCATAACCAAACTTATGTGACACGGATTGAATTGCTACTACTTAAAAGAATTTTATAGACATATGAAAGCAGATGTGCTTGATTATCAGAAATTATTTGTTCAATACAATACATGCCTGGGAATAAAACTGTAGAAGTTAGGAGCAAAATATTTCTGAGGAGATGTTTTTAAATGTTGGCATAGCCCAAAGTAATACAATTCGCAGCCTTGCAAAAATGTAATTGACTTTGAAATTGGGATGGGGAGAGATAGTGTCCCAAAACCATAACACATTTTAATAATTCTAAAGTATTTTGAAAGCAGGGAATAATATTTCTATAAAGGAGAAAATTTTGGATAACTTTTAGAAACAAAAGCTTCCTATAATGTGTCCCACTAATGAGGAGAGGAGAAAGCAAGGCGGAGATGTTTGCAGAAACTCAATTTACACAGGTCTGAGAAGTATGGTTTGAGATTTGGAAAAGTTACTTTCTGATTTCTTGGAACCAGCTAAATTCCTTCACACACACACACACACACACACACACACACACAGGTCCCATTTCCAAATCTAGGGTCACTTACTAGTTTAGAGATATTATGTATTTTATCACATTTTAAAGTTCTATTTCAGAAGAGGTCTATTTCAGGGTTCTTCTTATACCTACCTAAGATACTGAAGGTATCTTTGTACACATTTAGGGGAATATTTTCCTTGCTAAAATAATAGTTTGCAAATGTTGGGCTAGAGGTTTAGCTTTGCTAACCAGAAAGAATAAAATGTATGATTGTGTTATGTGTCAATTCTTCTTAACATATTAAATAGCACCTTTCTCTATACAGAAAGGTTGCCTGCTGCCCCAAATAAACATTTCTAACTATTATTCAGGGTAAAACTGCTGTTCTTTTGAACAAAACTAGAAGAAAAAGAAAATATATATATGTCTGCCCATTAGAGGAAAAAAGGAATCAGCAGTTTTAGAAAATTATTAATATTAATATAGTATAATAGGCAAGAGGGTTGTTCCTGGAAGCCTTTAAGAACTTTCAAACTTTCATAAATTTAAAGAAGCATTAGTTTCCCTTATTTTACTATTTCTGCTTGATTTTAAGTAGGCACTTTATTTTTGAAATTTCTCTAATTCCTCTTGCTCTATATTTCCACTTAGCTGGCACATGAGTTCTTTTCCCAAACTATTTCTTGACTCCTAAGTGCGAATCCAGCCAAGATAGCCAAGCTGTAACATATTAGACAACTGTTTCAAGATTTACTTTTTATTGCAATTATCTTGGCAAACAAAATCCAGATACAGTTAAGCTCAGGCTCTCTTCCAAACCCTGCTAACAAGCTCCTCTGGAAATATTTTCAATATTGTAAATCATAATACCTGTTGAGTTGGCAAAAATAGGAAAGAAAGATTCATTCTTTTCATTTTTTTTCTCTTTTGTGAGATCCAGTCTCTATTTACTTATTAATATCTCAGCATCATTCATTTTGTGAATTCACTATTATCATCACCACTATTATTTTGTCACATTAGAGAAAATATTTTGAGTCTCCATAATACCAATATCTTAAAAGAATATTGTATTTCTATTTTGGCATAGCGTCTTCCCCCTCCTCCATGTACATGCAGCATACATATTAAAACAGTATGTTTTTCTTTTCTTTTTCTCTTTTAAATACATCTTAAGCATATTTCCATGTTTCTGTTCATTATTCCTAGTTAATAATTGTGTATTATGCCATTTTAGTGATGCTCCATAATTTATCACACTGTTATCAGGTAGTTTCTTTAGAAATGGCATGCTAATCAAAAGTATTCCAAGTTCTTCTTGCCTCAAACAAAGAATTGCACAAGACAAGCCAATAATGGTGCCAAAAAGTTTATTTGAAAAGTGCAGGGTAAATGGGAATAGGAGAAACCAGCTCCACAGAGAGAACTTGGGCAGAACAAAGAGAAAAAGACGGTAAAAGCAAAAATAAAATACGTGCCACATTCAGAGGCAGCATGGGCTGCCATGCAAACTCACCATGATGATCAGTCCTTTTTATTCTGTCCATATCTTGTGGGAGCTTGCGAGAAGTTCTACTTTCGGGGTCCCCGAGTTACCCTGGGTTCTTATGACTGACAGGTCCAGCTCATTTTCCCAGACAGCTTTGCCATGTCCTATCTCCTATATCAATACCATTCATTATTGCTGGCCTGATATTAAGTTTTATGGATGGCTTTATATGTTATTTTTTCTGTTGTTGGTAACACTACTGTGTTATTTGGTACTTTCCTATAGAGATGAAAATTTATAATTGAAAAGCTGTCTCCTGTAACCCCAGATACTCAGGAGGCTGGGACAGGTTGATCATAAATTGGAGGCCAGCTTGGATAACTTAGCAAGACCCTGTCTCAAAATTTAAAAGGTGTTAGGAGGGACTGGGGTTGTAACTCAATGATAGAATGCTTTCCTAGCCTATGTGAGGCTCTGGATTCTATCCCTGGTGCCATATTAGAAAAGAAGAAGAAAAAGAAACAAAGGAATAGAAAGGCTGTTTCAATATAGAAACTGTAGAAATGTACTGGAATCAAACTGTCTATATTGTTGTTCACTCATCTCATCATTCACATGGATGTCACATGGTAGGAAACAATATAATGCTGCTTCAAAAAGGTCCTCCCATCAGGACCATAACTAATACTTTTATGAGTAAGATGAGCTATTTCCCCAGTTAAGATTTTGGTAGTATGTTTCTCAAAATGACATTACAGCAGTATCAGTCTTCAAAAGCATAATGTCCAACAAGTAAATCTTTTTTTTTTATATACCAGGGATAGAACTCAGGAAGCAAGTCTTAATAATTTTTAATACTCCAAAGCATTTTCTTAAAGTACCTTAACATATATTATATATTCACATATATGTATTGTATTTGCTATTAGTGACTTATAAATGAACTGAAATTTCAGTAATTCAATAGACTCTATCCATGACTTTTATTTATTTCATTTTAGTTTCTTTTCTTTGCCTATGATATTTCTGTGTTTCATTTTCTTACTACAAAAAACTAAACTGAGGATGGAAATGTGAACAACTGTGTGGCTGAACCAATAATCTCAATAAAAAATTGAATTCTAGTCAGTCTCTTATCCTGTTAACATAAAAGCATGTTAATCAGCTTTCTGTTACTATAACAAAATATCTGAGATAATCAACTTATAAAGAGAAAGGCTTATTTTAGCTCACAGTTTTGGAAGTTTCAATCCATAGATAGGTGGACTCTTACTTTTGGGCCTAGGGAAAGGGAGACCATCAAGTGAAGCCCACGGAGCAGAGCAAAGCTGTTCATCTCATGGCCAAGATGAAAGAGAATGGGAGGAAGGGGTTGAATTCTCAATATCCCCTTCAAGGACATGCCCCCAGATAACCAGAAAACCTCCCAGTATGCCCCACCTCTTAAAATTTCCACTACCTCCCAATAACACCAAGCTAGGGACAAACCATTTAACACAAGTCTTTGTGGGCATTCAGGTCCAAACTACAGCAAACACCATTAAGTCTAAAATCATTTCTTTGATTTCTCACAGCCTACCACAGGCTCCTCAATCCATGGACTCCCAATAGAAAGAAATTCCTACAGATTGAGTGTTCCTTTCCCAAAAATCTTTAGACCAGAACAGGTTGCATATTTTGGAGTTTACTGCTTTCAGGAATATTTAAATTTCATTTTACCAGATAAGCATCCCTAACTAGAAATTCTAAATCTAAAATTCTCCAAAATCTAAAACTTTCTGAATGTCGTTTAAAAAATAGAGCTAATCAACATGCACATAGTGCTTCCCAGATACTCACAAAACAAATAGGCACTGCTATTTGATCTCTAGCCATTGGTGAGTTATTCCTGGGCCTTGTCCTGGCTAAGGACTCCTTTTTTCCCCTTTCTTCCTCCTGACCCCAGATTAGAATTTACAGATTTGGTATCCTTGGCAACAGTACAAGCCTTTCCATGCTTTATCCCTAATAAGGTACAAAGTTACAGAATGAACTGGTTATTAAACAGAGTATGGAGCTATTGTGTTTCTGTTTCCAGAAAGTTAAATATAAAAGATATTCTTGCAATTAATCACTTTCATATTTTTCATGGTAATGAACTATTGTTATGTAAGGTAACACTTCAGTGTAAGGCAAGATCATAAGAAAAAAATTGGCCTCTTGAAAATCATCTGCCTATAATTCAACATGAGAAAAATGGACAATTTCCTTCTACCTGAGTAATTAGACTGCCAGGCCAACCCAGAAGGTCCCACTCTGCCGCATGCTGCACCTTCACCCCACCCTCTTCTTGGCAGTTCCTGAGTGTGCCCAGCAGCTCCCCACCTGAGCCTCTGCCTCAGCCATTTTCTCT